CATCATCCTCTTCTCTGACATTGCTTACTGTTGCTTTCTCAGTTTTTTGGGGTCAGCACGTGCCTTATAAATGACCTAGATAGCAAATTTGATTAGGGCCTTCTGAATTCGGGGACAGTTGCATCTCAATGGCGCAATTACACGCCACTGAGATTTCCTGTAAACTAGCTTTTATTATCTTGCCACACAGCATTACATCTGTACTCTCCTGATAATTTCACTGAAACACTGTTAAAACCTTTGAAAATGACGACTGACTGTTTATACTCAAAGCAGTTCAATGTTTTTTTAGTTTGTTTCCCAGCATTCTCTGCCTTTACAAGTCATAATTCACCATTCACCAAATGTTATAAACTCCTATCCACAATTGTATCGTGATTCAACCGATTTGAGTCGTCACATATTTGTATCGATTTTCAACCGGCTCGGGGTGCATCGTTACATCCCTAATGATCAAATGACAACATTTTCATTTTTGGGTGAACTATTCTATTAAAACATTTAATTATAAACAAGATGACAAATTGTTACTTATGGAAAAGTCCCACATCCAATTCTTGTAACAATGACCCACAATCAGGCTAGGCTCAGAGCCACGTTCCCTTCTGCAGGCTTCTGTGTGCCTCTAGACAGCCCAATAGACAGAAATCCTCCATCTGCCACGGGGTGCCAAGCTTTGCCCACAGGCGCTGTCCTGCTTGCCAGGGATGTAGGTGAGCCAGCAGCACTGACACACAACTACAAATCTTTCAATGCTGATGCTATCGACCACTAGTTATCAGCGGATGATAAAACAAGTGACAGGAGAATTGGGCCAGATTCCTTGAAACTTCAGGTTTTTACTCTGTTAAAATAAGTTGATGTTTATCGACTGTTAATGAGGGAGTCCTCGCTAATGCAGCAGGTTCCTTCTGATGAAGTCTAATCAACAGGACCAAACCAAGCCGATTCAAATTTAAATGCAAAGAACTGTGCATCCCCCACCTCCCTCTCTCTGTCCTTCTTTCCTCCTTCTCTGCAGGTCTTCAGAGTCAGGGGTGTTCCTGAATGATCCGTCTAATCTCAAACCGCACCGGCTTTCATGTGTCTCAACTCTTTCTGGCCTGATAATGGATCTAACTTGACTTAAAAAGTGCCAGACTTACTACATTTCAGCAGGCTCAGTGTGGGGTCAAAGTATCTACTGTTAACTTCTGCATGACCTCAAGTATAAGAAGCTGAAAGCTGGAGATGGGATGTACAGCCCTTTCAAAGCTCTTCACTTGAGTAAGACAGAATTAGATGCCTTCGGGGTTCAGAGCTCTAATCAGTCTTTTATATAAGATGAGACAGGATAAGAACCTTAAAATAGTTCCCAAAATCAAAATGCAGTATGAAACGCTTACTCTACAAAACAAAAAACAATGCATTTTGAATGCATGCGTGCACTGGCGAGCCATGTAGCACTGGATGATATCTCTCGAGCACAGAGGAAATGCAGCAATATCAGTCTTCAGTCCTAAAAAATAAACTGTTTGCAAGACTCAGACGTCATCAGACACTACTCAGAAAACCAGATTATAAGGTAGTTTAATTTTGTCTCTACTTCTCTTAAATGCATTTTATCCCTTGCAGTGCAATCAACGCTGATAACCAAATACTGATATTTGAATTTCTAACAGGCTTTAAAAGTTGTTAGCTTTTATTCCGAGGTAAGTGCAATGCTAGAAGTGTTAAAAGCCAACATTTTTGGAAATGATGGAAACTATGATGAAAGACATCATTAGCATTCATCAGTACAGTCAAAACGTATAATATGACTAGTCATAGTACAGATTCAAAATTTCAATTGAAGTCTTTACACTGATGACCCTAACAAAATATGTTTGATTTCATAATGACTAAATGTTTGCATTGAAACCTGAGAACCTATCTTGGAGAAACCACCATGTCAAAGCAATTACTGTACTTATATGTTCATACAATCATGCAACTTTATAACCTGTATCTTAAGTTACCTCATTTTTACAAATCCATAACTTTTTGTATAAATTTTGCAATTTCTCTGAAATTTGAAGTACTGTAAGTACACACTGTTCTCTTTTCCTAATAAACTCCAAATGAGGCGAGTATTCACTAGTTGATAGTGTGCAATAAACACATACACTGATAACTGTAAGTTACAGTTGTAACTAGTTGTAACTAAACAGAACAGAAACACTTGGTCATTAAATTAATGTTTTAAGTTTATTAAGTTTAAATTAAGTTTATATGTTTAATTCATAATGTGTTTATTAATCAGTCTATTAATTCAATGTTTGCAATTTTTTGATTTTTTTTTTAAGTAGCCACTCAACTCAAGAACCTTTTGGAATTTTTCATGGACCACAATTTGACAATAATCTACATTATAAGAATCAGATGGTTGAATGGTTTGTTAATTTGTTTTAAAAGCACTTTTAATCTTTGGGTTCTTTAAAGGATAGACTAAACAAGAACAAGTCAAGACACACACTCAAAGGACAATCTGCATCTGCATCACAAGACTCTTATCATGAGGAGGGAATACCATGCCGTGCATTTACACAACATGCTGCAAGAGATCACACAGTGAAGTTAAATAGTGGAGTACAGTGTATATGAGCCCCAGGATCTGTGTTGCACTATAACTCAGCTTTGCAAACTCTTTTGACTTTGTGGGAATATGAAAAACTAGCCTGCAGCCATTCTCCACAAATCTCCAACCACATGGCACTAGCTCAGGATGTGACACTATGCACCAAGTGTTTCTAGAAATAACTTGCCACACTTCCAAACAGGCGACTGGCCACTTCTAGAGATATTTCTTCTGATCCACTTCATCAAGAATGACAGGGACATTATTCATTCACACAATTTGCAAAACAAATGATGCGTCGTTTAAGGCATGAAATTTGACAGCCTAAATTGAGATGCTATTAGAATCTTAGTGACATCTAAATGGATACTGTATAAAGCCAAGTCTTTCTAAAATGTATTCCTTAAAACTAACCAGTAAAAAAGTAATCCAATTTTTTTATTTTCATTTCATTTTGGTACTTATCCATTACATACTAGTAGAACTTATTATTAGTGATTAGTATCTGTTCAGTCACTACGAGTACTTATTTATTACATACTAGTAGAACTTATTATTAGTGATTAGTATCTGTTCAGTCACTACGAGTACTTATTTATTACATACTAGTAGAACTTATTATTAGTGAGTAGTCACTATGAGTACTTATATATTACATACTAGTAGGCCTATTTCTTATTTCTACTATTCTCTTTCTCATCAATGACAAGCAGGTTAATTGTTCTATTGTTACTATTTACAATTTAAACATATTCAGTCCCAGAATGGAGATTTGTAGTTCATATAATATCTGTTCACTTCGAATTGTTGTTGCTGGTATCTATTCCAGGTTTACTAACTATTCTATAGATCAAATTGGAACAGACTGTACAGTAGTGTTTCATAAATGGGTACTAGAATCTAAACCATAAATACAAACAAAGCTGGGACAGATACAAATATTAGTGCCTAATGAATAGTTACTAGTAAAGTTAGAATAGGTACCAGTAACAACTGGAAAAAGAACTGATCGGAAGTGAATAGTGAACCAAAGATAGAACTCAAAAGCAAAAATGTGCAATTTGTTACTAGAATATTTGCATTCTACAAATGAGATAGTGACAAATAGCAAAGAAATAAGTACCTGTATGTAATAAGTACTACTGACAAATCGAATTGATTAATAGAGTCATCTAA